CGGAACGCTGTGTTGGGGGCATTGATGAGCACGGTGCCCTATAGCAAGGCACCGAGTGCAAGTAGGGGGCTTGGGTTTATGTGGACGGCATCGGAAAGAGACGCGTTTGAAGTACACAAAGCGAGGGATGATGGTTCCAGCAAATGTTATGAGGACGGATTCAGTGGAGCCCATCATACGTGCAGCGAGTATATCTGAAGTAAAGGATTCGAGGTCATGCAAGAGCTGAGATGTTGTGAAGTGACCACCGACGTTGTGTATGACGCCGAGACATGATATTGGAGGACTGAGGGCATAGGGCTTAATGGTGATCGGCTTACCATTAAGTTCCAGACTTGTGAGGGAGAGTAGGAGGTGGGCAGTGAGAGGTGAGTGCGTTTTCGGAAACACAAGGCTCTGAGCAGGTTTGGCTTGAAGGGTGACCTCCGCACTGGTCTTGGGAGAGAGATTTGCGGCGGCTGTGATGGTAGAAAGCAGGTCATAGAGAGGCAGTTTCGGCGTGAGTGTTCCGGGTGGAAGTTGGATTCCGACGGTGATGAGCTCGGAGCGGGGGCGGGCGGTCGAGGCAGGTTTTCGATTGGCACTAACGGTGTTCCAGCTGCCTTCAGGGGATGGCGTATTGTCTTCGTTGACTTGCGATGCCGTGAAGTCCATTTCCGTCGATAAGTCGTCAGCTGAAGTGATGGAAGGCAAAACTTCGGCGATGGAAGGAACGACGCTCGTCGAAACGCACTTGTCGACAGACTCGGAATTTCCAATGGGTAGGCCAGACGCAGATGAGGTGGGGAGAGCAGCAGGCGTGGTTGATTGCAATGCCAACGCTGCATTACGGCTCTCGGGCTCCGGCGTTTGCGTGGCTATCAAGCTGAGAGTAGCAGAGACGCCACCAGCGTTGCACGTTGCTGGACCGTGCGCGCTGTTGAGGAACCCTGCCTGTTGCTGTATTGTTGTCGGCGCGGGGCTGGTGACATTGCCAGATGGTGACAGCGGAGGCACGGCTGTATCAGGCGTACGACCGGAGGAGGCTGGGCTTACCGAAAGGGCGTAAGTTGTCGTTGGTGTCGAGTGCTGGGCGGGACTCTGCATCGTGGAGGTGCAGGCGCGGCGCGTTAGGGTTAGCGCGGCGCCGCGCCGCTTCGTACTTTTGAAGGGGCCTGGGGGGCCAGCCTGGGGTCGGACCGGGGCCCGGATGTTGTCGGCGTGTCCCGGAAGTCTTCCAGAAGGAATAGTGAGCTTGTCCAGACACGGGCGGGGCCCGGTAACGGGCCAAGAACACGTGAAAGTGGAGCACTGTATGCGGCCAGCCAAACAAAACGGCGCCACCTGGCGGTCCTAACATCCACTAATAAACCACAAAAATAAAGAGATATGCAAAATTTTACATAAGATGCACCTCTGAGCAAGATGCACCTCTTTTCAACTCTATCAACATAATGAAACATAATTCATGCAGAGTATGTTCATTGCGAAATGCACACATGAACAGATGCATACAAAATGTAAATGGCGTCGAAAAGCCAGAAGCCGTGACTACTGCTGGCCTTTTCTTTTTTCATTTGCAAAAAAAAAAGGATGCCCTACTAAAGCAACCAACAAGTGACAGAGGTTTGCAGCAGTTCTGTTAAGTGCATGAGTTTTTGCATAGTGTTAAAAAAATGTGCAAAAAAACTTTGACCTTGACGTTGTTTTTTCCTCTACAGAAGAAGTGTTCCAAAATCGACATGAAAAGCAAAACGAAGGCAGGTCTTGTGAAGAATGGTTCTGGGGTGAACACGTCAATTATTTTATTAACTGTTTATCGAACAAGAGTTATCATCATCATTTATTTTACCCTTAAGGGCCTCTCTCGGGGCATTACATAAGGGGGGGGAACAATCCAAGTACAAATTTCAATGAAAATGCAGTTCATGGTTACAGTTTTTGAATTACTAAAACATACAGGTAGCAACAAAAAACAAAAAGAAAACAGAGCATGTCAAACGAAATATTCAACAGTCAATTCGCGGTCAAAAATATACAGGCGGCAGAGAACAAACAACAAAGAAAGACAAACAGCGATTAAGAGTCAAGGGTAGCTAGTAATAAATCTCTAAATTTAACAGCAACTTGTTCGCTGACAATAGCATCCGTCAAACCGTTCCACTCATCGATAGCCGTAGGAAGAAATGATTTATTAAAAGCGTTAGTAGAACCAAACAGACGTTGGATACTCAGGGAATTAAATAGGCGACGAGATGTTCGGACAGGCGGAAGTAAAAGTGAACCATGTAGGTGAGGAAAGCTGTAGTAAAGTTTGTGAAAAAGACAGAGACGTGAAATTTTGCGTCGAGCTGACAAAACAGGGAGACCGAGGGATGATTTGATTTGACTGATGCTTGCTCGTTTGTCGTAATTTGCGGAGATGAATCTGGCGGCACGATTTTGGACGGATTCAAGAATGTTAATTAGGTATATCTGATGAGGGCTCCAAATTGCAGATGCGTATTCCATTTTAGTGCGAACAAAAGTTTCAAAGGCCAATTTGCGAAGGCTTGCAGGTGATAATGACAATGATCTCCTAAGATAGCCAAGAGTTTTTGAGGCATCGGCAGCTAGTTTGGTAATATGCTCGGTCCAGGTTAGTCTGCTTGTAATTACAACGCCCAGGTATCGGTAAGAATCCACTTGGGATAACACTGTTGAGTTTAATGAATACGGATGGATGACGTTAGTGTGTTTTCGTGAGACAGGCATGAACTTACATTTGGAAGTATTCGGCCTCATCATCCGCTGAGCGCACCAGTTATCAATGATGTGTAAATCTTGCTGTAGTATTAGCGAATCTTCGGGAGTTGATACGCGACGGTAGATGACGCAATCGTCAGCAAAAACCCGAACCGTTGATGAAATGCCGGAAGGAAGGTCATTTACGTAGATTAAAAAGAGGAGCGAGAGTTATTGCATCCCACTGTCTTGTGACAGGGTATATAGTGCCCATGAGTCCGTGTTTTCTCTCTTGTGGGTGGGTGTTCATGCTGTACTTCCTCACTTTATATTGAACTAACTTGCCCAAAAAGACATTTTGATATAGCGATCAGGCTGGGTGCTACCTAAATGTGTGGCAGTGGGAGCACTACAATGCCCTAAGGTCTGTCCCAGGTTTACATTTACCTGCTCATTGTGCAAAGTGTGGTTGTGTGCATGAACTTGCACAATTGCCTGTTTAGTATGCCCATCGTAACACAAAAACTAGGAAGATCAATGAAGAATTTTTCATTAAGAAATATTGGAAGTTGTGTCAGTTCATTTTTCGAACCACATTTAGATTCTCCTTTCTGGATGACACTTGCTTTCGGTAGAGCCTTCCCTGTTGTGTTCTCCTTTTCTGGTATATTATCTTCTATGAATAAATCAAGTTTCAGTCTGCATTTGTTTGTATCCTCTTTCTGTGTGCAATTAGTTTGTGCCGCCAATATTTCGCTATGAACTAACTAGCCCACCTTTCAAGCATTAATTCTGCAATAAATTAAAGTCATGATATTCTTGTCCTAACGTCCGGGTGTAAATTTTTGAAGCATAAGCACTAGCAGTTGGACTAGTTGGTGCGTCACAGTTGAAAGCTCAGCATTTGTTCTTGTGTAATGTCTTTTTCTAGTGTTTGTGTTTCTTTGTATTTGCAATTACCCTGTTGCGTTTCTGATGCAAGCGAAAATGTACCCAGCACATTGTACCCGAAAATGTACGAGGGCGCCGCGACTGCGAAAGGTACCCAGCAAACCATCAATATTTAAAGAACGTCCACAAATGATCTGAATATCCAATGATATTTGTGAATATTCAGTGGATATTGGGTGGACACTTCTATTTAAATATTAAAAGTGGATATTTATAAAATATTTGTGAACATTGTTTTACTAACATAGATGCCTAAGCGAGTTCGACCCGAAGGTCACGGAAGCGAATCCCGGCCGTGGCGGCTGCATTTTTGATCGAAACGGAAATGCATTAGGCTCGTGGACTTTAATTTAGGTGCCTTTTAAAGGACCCCAGGTGGTCGAAACTTCCGGAGCCCTTCACTACAGCATGATTTTGGGACGCTAAACCCTAACAATCATTAGCATCAAGACGCCAGAGATATTTATGTATAAAGATAACAGTAATGTGTAACTTTTTCTGTTTATGTACATAGAGCAATGAGATGCTTTTTTTAATAGGTTACATTTTTGTGAAAATAACCTGATTTGTACACAGACTAGTTCTCATGTGCATGCATGCTTTTGTATTCACCCACACTTCAGCCACTGCAACATTGTAGGATTGCATGCAAGTTGTGCAATAAAATTTCAGATTAGCAGCTGTAATGAACATTGTGATTATATGTATGCACCCCTAAAAAAATTTCAAAAAGAGACTGATTTCAACAACATTTTTTACATGTTACACCACAACCAGAATATGTTGTAAAACTTGATTGTTGAGGGAAGTCAGTCATGAAACGCAGCCTACACCAGGTTGCTGATATCTCGAATAGAAAATCAGAAAAACGATTCTGCTGCACTGAGCTGAACACGCTTGGGCCACTCACAGAATGTGATGGCTCGTTCGGGGCTCGATAAATACCACAGTAAGTCCCACGCCCTCTTTCAAACAATTATGAGGGTTTACTTCACAATACCGTGCTCACAACTCTATGGCCGCACCACCCGCACGTCAGCCATGTTGTTTATTGCATCGTCTAGGCCTCTAGCCGGCTCTAGCCACATCGACCGAACACACTTCCTTGGCTAATGGCTAAATCATAAAAATTGCTACACAGTGAATTTCAAAATAACTAACTTACAAAAACGTAACTGTTTTTACATAGCGTTTACATAGCGTTCACATAGTTCTCTCATAGCGTTTACATATTACGTTATGAGAGCACTGTTAAAAGTGTGAAGGTTTTCATGTAAACCACGTGTAAACAACCTTTTTTTTTTTTTGTTGCCATGACAACTCGCCATTGGCTCGCTGCAAGCTGAACGCAGCCGAGGCAAGCTCCAGTCAACATTGTCCGCTGGAGGGTTGCGCAACGTGAGGTACTACATTGTGCGCGGCGTGCTTAAATATCATCGTTGGGTTTATCCTGCTGCTGAAGCTGCAAAAGGTTGATACTCTTCCCTTTTCAACTTTGAAATTTTTGTCAAAAAAAAAAAAAAGAATCCAGCATAAGGCGCGCAGTCTCTCATTGTGGCTGTAATGTGTCCGTGATTCATCCCAGCGCATGTCTACAAAGGGCCCTCCTGCTTTTATCGTTCCTTTATTTGATCATAATAAGCTCATGGCCTCGCCCTTTGGTCCGAGTGATCATGGGCGAAAAAAAAAACACACGCTTGTGTCAGATAATCAAAAAACCAATTTGGTTGTCGTATCGCAGGCCGGTTTTCCCTGTACACTTTCCTTTTGCGAGGGTTATGCGTGACCTCCTCCATGAAAGTATAGAAGAATGTGGTTTTTGAATCAGAGAATAATCCCTATACGCAGATATAGACTAATCAGTAGAGCATTGAATAAGTGACTCGTAAAATTTCTTGACCACCACAATTATATGTAGATGTCATTTGTGGTCGTCGACTTCTTTGAAGCGATGAAAGCTGAAGTTGTGCTGGCGTTGTGGTTTGACGACGGTACATGCTGCTGGCCTCGAGCCAAACCTGATAGAAATGTCCAGCTGGCGAAAGCTTTGACAAAACCTTCGGCAGCGTGGGCGATATATCCGGCCAACGTGAAAGCAAGGGGCGGGAGCGGGCTAGTTGGTATTCTTGTCTAAAACAGCTGAAGCACTAAAAAGTAACAATGGTCTAAGAAAACAACTAGGACAAACGGTAACTTCCAACTAAAATTTTATTGCAAAGCAGCAAAAATATTGTTACGAGTAACTTGTTTAATGATCTATTTACAGCGCACAGAACTCGACAAGCAAGATGGCGCCAGACCAGCATCAAACGAAAACTCACTTCGTCCTCCTCTTTCATGCAGCCGTGTTTAGCGGCTGTTATGTATCATAACCCCCGGCGGTAGAAGCACCGTCCCGGTGCTAAATTTACGCAAATGATGTAGAAGGGGGGTAATAGGGCTTTAGATGAGCCACGTGAACAGTGTCGCTCGGAGCTGACGATGACTTTGTTGAATCGGTTGGAACAAACTCATACGTGACGTCTGTCACTTGGCGACTGATACGGAATGGTCCAGTGTAGGGCGACAACAGTTTTTCAGACAGTCCCACACGCCGAGTAGGTGACCAGAGGAGCACGAGAGAATCCGGAGAAAAGTGCACGTCCCTATGACGAGAATTGTAGAGCTGTTGTTGGCGCGCCTGTGAAGCCTGTAGACGATTACGGGCGACTTGGCGCGCGTGATTGGCGCAGACAATGGCTTCCCCAGCATATTCAATGGCCGTAGGTAGTAAAGTGTCTAAGGGTAGAGTTGGGTCCCGGCCATATAGTAGATAGAAGGGTGAATAGCCGGAAGTGTTGTGACGAGATGAATTGTAGGCGAAGATCACATACGGCAAATGAATGTCCCAATCATGGTGGTCTGGCACAACGTATTTGGCAAGCATATCGGTTAGGGTCCTGTTAAGGCGCTCTGTGAGGCCATTTGACTGGGGATGGTACGAAGTAGTAAATTTGAGCTTGGTATGGCAAGACCACAGGATTTCATGAACAACAGCTGATAAGAACGTGAGGCCATGGTCGGCGAGAAGTTGACGGGGAGCACTGTGCACTAATATTATGTCGTACAGCAAAAGTCCGCAACGTCGGTAGCGCAAGCTGGTCGGGACTGCTCGTGTGATTGCGTACCGCGTCGCGTAGTTTGTGGCAACAGCAATCCATTTATTTCCGGCCTGTGGAGAGTGGAAAAGGGCCCAACAGGTCGAGACCAACTCGAAAGAAAGGCTCGTTGGGAACGTCGATCGGCTGAAGGTAGCCGGCTGGGAGGGCAGACGGCGTTTTGCGACGCTGACAGGGCTCACAAGCGGCAACATATCGTCGAACAGAGCGGGCTAGTCCAGGCCAAAAAAAACCACGTCGTACCCGATCGTATGTGCGAGAAACGCCCAAATGACCCGTCATGGGAGTGTCATGAAGTTGATGCAGGACAGTGGAACGCAGGTGCGCTGGGATGACAGGAAGTAAGTCTGATCCGAAAGAATCAAGGTTACGGCGATATAAAATCCCGTCTTTCACCAAAAACATTCCTAGGGATGGGTCCCGAGGTGTTGACTCCAGTTTGTCAATGATGGCTCGTAAAGAAGCATCCCGACGTTGCTGTTCGCCAATGTTCAACAACTGCGACACGGAAAAAACGTCCATGATAGCAGTCAGTATCGGTTGCTTCCTCAACAGGGTAGCGGGATAAACAATCAGCATCCTGATGTAATCGCCCTGTTTTGTACATTACAGAGAATGTGTACTCTTGAAGGCGTAGAGCCCAACGAGCAAGACGTCCCGTGGGGTCCTTCAGAGAGGCTAGCCAGCAGAGCGCGTGATGATCCGTGAAAACACGGAATGAGCGCCCGTAGAGGTATGAACGAAACTTGGCGACTGCCCATACAAAGGCGAGGCACTCGCGCTCCGTGATGGAATAGTTGCGCTCAGCTGAAGATAGCAGTCGACTTGCGTAGGCTATAACCCGGTCGTGTCTCCGTTGTTGCTGCAATAGCACAGCTCCAATGCCGTGTCCACTGGCGTCCGTGCGTACCTCGGTTGGGGCTAATGGATCAAAGTGAGCCAAGATTGGTGGCGTTGTAAGCAGTGTCGTAGGTTGCGAAAACCATGACGCTTGGTCATGGCCCCAGATAAACGAGGTGTCTTTCTTCAAGAGGTCTGTGAGGGGGCGTGCAATGGTCGCAAAGTCCTTAACAAAGCGTCTGAAATATGAGCACAACCCCACAAAACTGCGGACATCCTTTGTGGTCCTCGGAATGGGAAAGTTCGTGACTGCGCAAATTTTCTCTGGGTCTGGACGCACGCCTTGGGCATCGACAAGGTGACCGAGCACGGAAATTTGACGACGAGCGAAGTGGCACTTGGAGGCGTTAAGCTGGAGTTCGGCTCGACGAAAAACGTCCAGAATAGCTGACAAACGATCAAGATGAGAGTTGAACGTGGGCGAAAAGACAATAACATCGTCAAGGTAACACAAGCAGGTGGACCACTTCAACCCTTGGAGCAATGAGTCCATCATTCTTTCAAATGTGGCTGGTGCATTGCAGAGACCAAAGGGCATCACCTTAAACTGATAAAGACTGATTGATATGTGGGGTTTAACGTCCCAAAACCACTATATGATTATGAGAGACGCTATATGATTATGAGAGATTATGATAAAGACCATCAGGAGTGATGAATGCGGTCTTCTCACGGTCCATCTCGTCGACGGCTATCTGCCAGTACACTGACCGAAGGTCAATAGTTGAAAAATAAGTGGCACCGTACAGGCAGTCGAGGGCGTCGTCGATGATAGGTAAAGGATAAACGTCTTTTTTGGTAATTTTGTTAAGGTGACGGTAATCGACACAAAAGCGCCATGTTCCATCTTTCTTTTTAACAAGGACGACTGGAGAAGCCTAGGGGCTGCATGAAGGCTCAATAACGTTTTTTGCAAGCATTTCGCCGACTTCATGTTGTAATATTGCATGCTCCGACGCAGACACACGGTAGGGGCGTCGGTGAATGGGAGTTGCATGGCCAGTATTTATGCGATGGGTGACAATGGTCGTTTGGCCTAAAGAGTTGCTGTCAAAGTCGAAAATGCTACGATAGCCCCCAAGAACGTAGCAAAGCGCTGCAGCTTGCTCAGACGTGAGGTCTAATGACACCATTCGCTCGATGTCGGCGCCCCAAGAACGTGATGGATTGGAACCACTGACTGAGCTGCAGCAATTGTCAACTCTGAAGGGCTTGACATGGTGATCTTGGAGAGCAGGTTATTTTGGCCAGGGAGATACCCTGTGGCAGAACTTCGGTGGTGAATGAAAACTTGACCAGCGGAAGGAAGGTGCGGTTTCTCGTAATCGTCAAATCATATGCGGCCCAGCAATCCCATGCATAAGCATCACAGCAGGAATCTGGGCCACCATGTAATCACCATCAGATACTGGCGATGTGGAGGATAAGTCGACATGTGTGACAGAGTTAGGAGGGAGGCGCGTGAAATCAAAGCAAAAGAGGCTGGTTTGCGGTGGGCTGGTCGGGTCGGAAAAGAGAGGTAAATCGAGATGGAGAGAGCCAGCTGAACAGTCTATAAGGGCAGAGTGCGTGGCTAGAAAATCCATACCGAATGTTCGGTAACGGCGAAAAGAACGACAGTGCTTCTCTCTCCAATAGACACTCCCGCAGAGCATATGCCAAGAATTGCGGCAGTTCCTCTATCGGCGACTCGAACAGCTCGGTTGAGGGCGGGCGTGTCAACTTTTCTAAGTCGGCGGCGAAGGTTAGCACTCATAATGGACACATGCGCGCCAGTATCTATCAATGCACTGACACGAACATTGTCGACAGTAACGTCCAAAAGGTTCCGGTTCGTTGTTAACGTTAATCGAGGATTTCTTACGAAGGTCGTCCAGGCAGCTCCACCTCCAGAAGCTGCACGGCCTGGTTTTCCGGTCGGAGATGCTGCGAATAGGTCGGGGAGGCAGCACGGCGTTGTGGGGGCGACCGGGACTGACGACGAGCAGGGGACGGTGACCGGTCGTAGCGAGGTCTGCTCAGAGGTGCTGCAGGAGCGGAAAATTTGGTCGGCGTTGATGAAGAAAGTGATGGGGATGACTGGTGAACAGAAGTGGCGTGATACTGAGGTGCATAATGGGACGGTGGAGCCTAGCGGCTGCGGCAGTGACGAGCGATATGACCAACGCGTTGACAGTTAAAACATATGGGCCTGTCATCAAGAGTACGCCATACGGACGGATTGCGTTGTATGCGAGGAGCAGAAGGGGTACGATAAGAAGGCTCAGCAGAATACACGGCAGGAACAGAATGTAGGCTGACATTCGATAGCTCTTGACGAACGACCACTTGTATTAAAGAGATCCTGGTCGGGGAAGGCGCAGGCGTCGGTATTGACGTGGCTAACGGTTGTGCTGCCTCGACCTCTCGACGAATGATGCGTGTAAGGTTGTCACATCGAGGGGCCTGGTGGAAGGCGTCGTCACACGAAGAAGTGGCCGTTGTGTTTGGAAGGCGCACGATGCTTTGGGCGACGCGGCGAGCTTTAGCTTGTTCGAGACGTCGGCATTCTTTAAGGATTGTGTCGATGCTTGAGACGTTGTTAAAAACCAGCAGATTGAAAGCATCGTCAGCAATGCCTTTCAAGACGTGGTTAACCGTTTCGTCTTCGGACATGCACTGGTCGGCCTTGGAACAAAGGGCCAAGACGTCAAGAATGTAGGAGACGTACGATTCGGTAGAAGACTGGACCCGTGTGGCAAGAGTCTTCTTCGCAGCGAGCTGAAGACCAGATAAATCACCAAACAGGTCACGTATCTTTTCTTTGAAGAGATCCCAGCTCGTTATGTCGGCTCCGCCACCCTTTGGTAGCCTTACTAGAGAAAGAAATTTCGCTTATGTCTGTTAATCAATGAACTTGTTATCGTCATTTGTGATACGTGTGCAGTGCATTTGTTGTTGTTTTTTGTGACCAGAGAGCACAGGTCAGAGGGGTATAAAGTGAATGTTCTTCGAAAAATAAACCAGTTTTTAGATTATGCCCATTTGTCTTTCTTTCTATGTCCCTGCGTGCTTGCGCAAAAATTTCAAGAAGAAAAAACTATATCACTTGAACTCACCAACACATGATTTTTTTTGTAAATTCACTGCTGTTTAGTTTTCACTTTTTTCTTAATCTATGTATTGATTTATTTTACCTTTGTGCATTGATTGATTTGATTGTGATGTCTGTGTTTGGTATATATTCTTACTGCTTTGCAATAAAATTTTAGTTGGAAACTAACGCTTGTCATCGTTGTTTCCTTAGACCGTTGTTACCTTTTGGCACTTCAGGTCTTTAAGACATGAAAGTGAGAGGCCTTTTCTGTATTTTGACTATATTGACGGTGTGTAAACACATGTGTGTTTGTGACCACTTTCGAGCAGCGATGTGTCATGTTTTTATTCACTTTAATCTCTCCAATATTATGTTTACTCGCGTACACTGTTTGTAGTACGCATGTCGAAACAGCAGAGCATCGCGCTCAGGGCTGCAGCTGAGCATATAGGCCACATCTAATCATGCCCGTAGTCCCAATGACGCGCATGCCTTGCGTTTTTTTTTTTGTTTGTCACGGCAGTTGCATCAAGTATTTTGGGCGTCAAAAGCGGTCAGAAACGCTCTTGGTAGTACGTAGAAGAGAACAGAGAATATTCTGCAAGACATGTCTGCGACAGGCTGTGGGAATGATAACACTGCTAACAAAAAGGTTTTGCCACATAACTCAAATTATTCGGAAACTACTCCGGCCGATTCGCGGCTGTTTGATTTTCTGTGCTAGTTCAGACAGCGCTTCTCACAGCCAAAAGAGTTGCATCTGCATCCCAAAAAAGGCTCTTCATTGAGGGTTGTCCAAGCTTGCATGGGGCCTATATCAATCTTCGTGTTGTCTATAGATGTGAACCATGCAGTGCAGAGCCGGACACTCTAGCGTTCTAGACCAACATGTCGCCCTCTGTACGAGCTGCAACCAGTGCTGTAGATGTAGCTGAAAGCTGAAGTGCAATTTAAGCTGCTGTTATTCTCGGCCAGTTGTGCACTGCTCTTGGATATAGAAAGGCCAGCAGTTACAGCAACTGAAAATGTACAAGGGTAGCTTGGGCTTGGTTATTTCTACTTAATCCTCAAACAGCATGAAGGACATGGACAAGAGAGGCACATCACTGTGTTTGTGGACTCTCTTGTCTTTGTCCTGCGCGCAGTGTCTGGATTAATTATGAAAGTTTACTCTATAACTTATTGTTAAGCACTGAAGTGGCCTTGATGCTCAAATTGCACATTAATAGGAAGAAAAGAAGGACAGAGAGGTTAGCTAGTTCTCAGACCGGCTGGCTACCCTGTAATAATAGATTAAACACTATAGTAAAAGAGACTACTAATTCGTGCATAATCTTGCATTGTGAATGCATAATGTAATCAAACAGGGCTGTATTCGCGCACTAATAAATGTGGACACACATAAAAAATATATGTGCTTTTCAACCTTTAGAATAAGCATTTATATATATGTCTGGTAACTATTACAACCATAGAACTTAATTTTTTCATCATTATACTCTGCTGGTGCGATTCATTGGTTTCTAAACAGCATGTTTAGAATGTTTACACTGAATACCCCATATGTGGTGACACTCATTATTGGAACTGCTGTCATTGCATTTGTAATGCTGTTGAGGTAATTTTTCAAAGTCCATATTACACCCCGCAAACGTGCTTCCTACACTGCTCATTGAGCATCAAGTTTACGTTAGCTATGTCAACAGTGGTGTTTATACACATGCATATATTTGCAGGCTACCAGTGCCCTGACTGACTGACCACTGCCATCACTATGACAGAACCCCCCAAGACCTTTGCTGAATTTGATGCAATAAATTTGACTAAAGGCAATCATATTGTGTTAGCAGTCTCACTATTTTGTAGCATATGGTGCGATTGCATGCACGTCTGCCCGCCTCAGTGGAACAGTGGCTAAGGTGCTCAACTGCTAACCCAAAGGTCAGGGGTTCAATGCCGGCCACGGCAGTCACATTTTGATGGAGGCGTAATTGTAGAGGTAGGTACGTGTACTGTGCAGTGTCAGTGCACGTTGAAGAACACCACATAGTTAAAATTTCCAGAGCCCTCCACTACATTGTTTCTCTATCGTATTGTGGTTTTGGGACATAAGACCCCAGATAGTATGCATATGTGCATCGCTGCACCTAAAAATAATTGTCATTTGATATATATCAATGTTATTGTAGATTTGCTGTGGACAATCTATGAATGTTGACTCTCGTCAAAATGAACATCCTCTAAATATTGTATTAATTTTGCCAACTATTATATCAATATTGTGTGTGGAACTGATGTGGACATTATATAAAGGTCCACTCTGTTCAAAATGGACATCCTCTAGATATTGTATAAATATTAAATTAACTTTTGTGGACATCCATTGAAGATAAAAATATCATATGGTTGATATTTATTTGATGTCTACTGAACATTACATGGTTGGCTGGGTAAACATTGCGTGATGGTAGCTGCCTGCCATGTGTGTAGGTGGTGAAAACTCAGATGAAATAGTGGCCATGGCCTAGGCCGCCTCCAAGGGACGGAGACCCTTGTGATCGTCGCTGCTTCTTGTGATTTCTGGATGCCCAGTTGAACCTGGTGGTTGGAGCTAGCGGGGCCATCCACCGCGCCACAGCTTCATCTGAACGTGTGCGCCATAAAGTTTCTCGGTATGAAGTGCGGATTATTGTTCTTGGACGTACTGCATTTTCTAGATTGCAATGCCAAGTGTGGTGCTGTCAAAGGTGAAAGTGTTCTTGCTGCCTAGTTTTGCTTGTCGCGAAGGGCAAGGTCAACGATGAAATAAATGCTTTCGCACAGTTCACGTGTGACTGACCGTGCGCACATGCATGAAACCCCTGTGCGTCGGCGAAGAGTTCATACGATGGATGGAAACAACTTTATTGTAGTGTTCTTGCAAAGCCTGTGATCTCCTAAGGCCAGAGCTACTGCATTGCCGGCTGTTTTGTCAAGTGCGAACACGTACGACCATTCTCATCCGTTGCTACGTAAATGCCCCCGTGCTGCCATAGGCCATGCATGTTATTCAGCAAGGCAGACAAGCTGTTTTGTAGTTATATGAGCTAACGTCGTCGGCAATTGCTCTTGGACACAGGTTATCAAGTGCTGATTGCCTAGAACATTGCGGTGACACGTCAGTATTTTGAAGCGGCCTGTCGGTTACCTAGTCAGGTGATGGTACCTTGAGTGAAATAAAAAAAGTTGCCCAAGACTACGTTGCAGTGCACCTTCTGTCATCAAAACTTTGATAAACCGTGGAAATCAACATTCCTGACACCTGTGCCAAAGAAAACAATGCAGCCAGCTGCATTTGAGTTTTTCGTGTCTTTTTGCGACACTCTGATTAAGAGCACTGATTTGCATACCACTTTATCATAATAAATATAGCCAATCCTGCGAGAGTCATTAAAGATCCAATATTAAATGGTCTGTGGACGGGACCACCACCAGCAGCAAGTCAGGCTCATGAGGAGGCGCCAATGATAAAACAATATATGTGTGAAGAAAGAAAAAAAGAGAAAATAACGATGACGGCAATGGGACTTGAACCACCGACCTCACCAGTTCTTTATGTGTTGCTCTAACCAACTACGCCACAGCTGCCCATCGGGTATGGTTTGCAAACAAGCCTGTTTTGTATTGTTGTCACGCTGTACCTAACTAACATTTTTTGTTTACTTTTACGTTTGGACGTAACTTTAACGGCTTTTATTGTTTCGTGTAAATGTACCGCTAGACACTCCCGACTATTCAAACGAAGCGCCTAACTTGAAAACGCATGTCGTCACTTCCGTGCGGTGCAGCAGCCGTTTATGTGTGAGGGTGGCTCGTGCGCTGCGCGGCGCAGCAGTCTCTGCCGTTAAAATATAATCGTGAAATATTCCATTGCCCAAGTGCGCAAACTTATTGTATTCAAACATACCCTCGTATTAGCTTTAGTAAATTTAACTGTATGCCAATCTCTTCCATCTTTGTGACAATGAGCAGGCGAGATGGTCCCGATACACGTCAGGCTGTGTAATATTGCCAAATTATCTCGCAGGGAGGATGCCTGCCTGACAGCTTTGTGTGCCACAGAGGGCAATTACTTCTGAACAACAAAGAAAAATAACACAATGCTCAACCTGTAGCTACCATGGACCAGACTGCAGACATCCTACAATGCTGCCAATTCTAACACAAACATGCAATGTACACCCCCACAAACGGCTTTACCATAAACATTTACCACTCTCCCACTTCCTCTCTATATGCTCTACCTGGATGGCCAACAGCCACCAACGCAGTTATGTATCTAAACTTACACTCAGACAATGAATGAAACAGTGAAGTGTAATGAGACAAATATAAAATAGACCAAAATGAATCATTAGCACTCAGCTTCCGCAAAGTTTAATAAAAAAACACACAGGCAGAAAAATTTCAAACACAGCTACGAGCTGTTCCGTACAGCCCATGTGATGAGGGCCAGCTAACGTGCTACGGAAGGGCTGTGCAGAGGTGCTGTTCTTGATGAGGAACATAGAGTCATAGTGTACGTAATTTAGGTATTATTAATTAGTCTTCGACTGTTTCATCTCTGGAAGACTTTACCACTTCAGGCTATTGTAAGATGGGTGTTTTTGCCTGTGACAAGATGAATATCTGTATTCACCACGCTCGAAATGCTGCGCTGCCGGCCTTGCCCGCGATGCAGCCGTTTGAAGGTAATTATGTCACTTGCATGCTTCGAGTAAGTGAAGATGTAGATATAATATTGTCGCGACGTGAAAATAACAGGATACGTGAAATAACAAGATCGCGTCATCAGAAAGCTGAATCTCGAAAGAACTTGAAAGAATTGCCCTAACCTTTGCTTCTGTGTCTGACCATGTTTCAGCTGTAGCATCAGTAATTCCGTGGAAGATTAAGTTGTCTCGTCGCGATCGGTCTTCGTAATTGTCAAGTCGTGCGCGAAGAGCAGCATTCTCACTACAAACCGCTGACGCAATCCAAACTGAACAATCTAAACACGATCCCTCGGATACGTTTTCCAAAGCGTTCACCTTTTCTTCAAGGTTTGCTAAACGTATTGTAAGGTAGCACACTTTGTTATTAAGAACCTTTTGGTTATTTTTGACTACTTCAATGGATGCTAGAAGATTGTCGGGCCGCTCATCGAGGTGCTCCATTAGGTGACCTATAGCTAATAGGACTGCATTATCCTGTACTTTGGTGTCTGGATTTGGGGGACCAGGATTCAGTTCAACGTCACCTCCTAACAAAAGCAATTTCACAACATGAACACATTCACCAGCAGTAACCATTAAAACGTGTTGGCATGGGAATAGCAGCAAACATACGTTATCACATCTTCTACAATGAATATAATAACAACCAACCTGGGTGAAAAGACATAAGTGGTTTTTAGCGACCATCGTTGCTGCTGCCATCCCCTACCCACTGGACGGGTGATGCTTCGAGGACGAGTTTATGTAGTCCACCGTTGTCGCTGTCGATCTCGCTTTGTGGGATGAATTTGCTGCCGAAATTCATCCCACGAAGATAGCGTTGACTCGTGGTTCTCGTACCAGGTACGAGTGCTGTCTGTCAAAGCAAAGTAGACATGCGATAGCTTTTGTTCAGTTGGCCAGCGGTTGGCCTTGGCGACTCGCTCATAGTGGGCTAACCAGTCCTCAACGTCTTCATAGACCTCACCGTGAAAGGTCTCGGGAATTTGATGCTCCTCAACAGTAAGCTGTGAAGGCCCTCCAGTAGCCATTTCTCCAGGCACGGTGTGTTGCTGGAGAAGGTCGAGGGGGATTGCCTCAAGACTAAGGCCTCGCTTTCAGCGACTATAGTGGTGGACAGGAGTATCCACTGCAGGAACGGGTTGCGGTGGCGGACTCGAAGTGCCAGGGCGCGGAGGTATCCCAAGCATCAGTTCGAGGAGTCAAGCACGTCCACCAATGTCACGACATGAAAATAACAGGATACAGGACGACAGTGCGACCAGGAAAAGCAAGGTCTGTATTAACAGAACAAAAGAGCAGCCGCTTCGACGTCGTCTTACTCGGAGCAACCGTGGGTGCTGTCCACGCTCATCACTTCGTCGTCCTCTTGCCCTGCCTTTAGCCGTGACAACATAATGCAAAATACAGTGTTTTGAGCGTAAAAATGATGGAGCGTTACATTTGTCGCGACGTGATGGCAACCGACGTAGACGTTCCATCGTCATTGGTTTATTGCAGGGATGAAGGCATACAGTTGAGGATGGAAGTGATATGCGGAAGTAAAGCAGCGGTCGTGCCAGCCAGAAGCATACGAATGTTCTAGGCTCCTCGCGCCACCAGCTACCGGGGTTCGTCATCTTTTTCTCTGTCGGCTTGCTGCCACTAGCACTGCGCTAAATGGGCTCTCAGCCTAGCATGTTATGCGATAGAAAAGAAATGTAAAAGAGGTAGAAAAAACATATAAACACTACGTACATAGCAGCAGTTCCTATAAGTGTCCGTTGGGAAGCCCGAATGTCGTCAGGGTGGAAGGCGTAAGGAGCAGCCCGACAGTTCTGGTGGGCGACACTTGAAACCAGGCAGCGAGCAAAAAGCACGATCGTTGCACATCGCTAGAAGCAATGAGCAAAGCAGAGAGGCGTGTTGGAAACGCTGGTGGTGAAAGTTGTGTGTGAACGCCATAGCCGACGCTGCTCCAAGCTTTGAACTTGCAGCTTCTTGAGTGACGACAACAGTGCTTTTGTCGACAATGCGATGTGTGTTTTGAATGGAGCATTGTGATAAGATTAGTTTGCCGTTCGGCCGCCCGGGGGCGTCAAT